GCTACAACACAGGTAAACCTTGAAAACATTACACTAAGTGAAAGAAGCCAGACACAAGAGGCCACATGTTGTATTCATTTCATTTATATGAAATGTCCAGCATAGAAAAATCCATGGAAATGGAAAGTAAATTACTGGTTGCCAAGAACTGGCGATGGGGAGGAAATTTAGAACAAACTGCTAATATGTATGGGATTTCTTTTGGAAGAGATGGAAATGTTGTAGAATTAGATAGTAGTGATGGTTGTACAACATAGTGAATATAATTAAAAAAAACACTGAAGTATACACTTTACAATGAGGAATTTTATCTTCTGTAAATATATATATTTACATATATATAAAATATATATTAAAAGTTTTATTTTATGTATATATATATATATATATATATATATATATATATATATATTACTTTTTGAAAGACCCTGTTATGAGGATGAAAAGACAAGCTACAGCCTGGAAATAAATATTTGCAAGCTGCATATCTGACAGAGACCAGCATTTAGACTGTATAAAGAGTTCTCACAACCAACAATAAACAAACAATCCAATTAGAAAATGAGCAAAAGACATGAAGAGACATTTTGCCAGAGTATGTACAAATAGAAAATAAGCACGTGAAAAGATCTTCAAGATGATTAATATTTAATAAATGCAGTTTAAGTCACAGTGAGGTATCACTATGCAACCATGAGAATGACTAAAAGAAGACAGTGACAGCATCAAATGCAGGTGAAGGTGTGGAGAAATTTGATCACTCTTACATTGCTGGTGGAAACATAAAATAGTACAGCTACTCAGGAAAATGGTTTGGCAGTTTCTTAAAAATTAAATCCCTAACTATCATATGACCCAGAAATTGCACTTAGGCATTTGTCCCAGAGAAATGAAAACAAGTTCACACAAAAACCTGTACCCAAAGTTTAGAGGAGCTTTCTTCATAATATTCAAAACCTGGAAAAACCCATTGTCCTTCAATGTGTGAGTAGTTAAACTGTAGCATATCATACCAAAGAATACTACTCAGCAATAAAAAATAAAAACTACTGGTACACTCAACAGCTGGACAAATCTCCAGAGAATTACACTGAGTGGGGAAAAAAAAGCCAATAAAAACGGTTACATACTATATGACTCCATTTATACAACATTCTTGAAACAAAATTATAGAATTGGAGAACCACCTCATGGTTACTAGGTATGAATAAGGAAGTGGGGCAGAACAAAGAGGGTATAGCTGTAAAAGGGCAACATGAGGGATCCTTATGGAGGTGGAAATGTTGCATGTCTTAACTGCTTCAGTATCAAGAGCCTGGCTGTGATATTGTACTATAGTTTGTTAGATGTTACCATTGGGGGAAACTAGGAAATATGAGATCTCTGTATTTTTTTCTTACAACTGCATTTGAATCTCTAATTATCTCAAAATTAAAAGTTTAATTAAAATTTTAATTAACAGCTGATAATGACAGTAGCCTACAATTTTTGAATACTTAATGCTAAGTATGGTTCTAAGCACATGATTCATTTAATCCCCCAACAATCCTGTGATACAGGTACAACCGTCATAGAATAGGTAAGTAACTTGCCCATGGTTACACAGTTAATAATTGGTGGAGCTGTGATTCAAATTCAGGAAACCTGCCTCCAGAGGCTGTGATTTTAACTACCATGCTGGTAACCAGGCAGTTTCACATACGCAGGCTTTTCAGCTTTCCTGAAAGTCTGTAGCAACCTTCCTATTCTGAGGCTCGTAGCTGCTGCCCCCTCTAGACAGAGCATTGTTGTACATTTGTCATAGTGTCCACCACTCTCTCTTCAATGATCTGTTTTATTGCTCCCAGTTCACTTCATCCATTGATGTTACCCACCAGGTCCTGTAGACATTAAAGTTTTTAGACCCTGGCATACAACATTACCTTGTGCCTGCGGAATGAAAACGTCATGGAGAGGAAAAAATATATATATTAAAACTACATTAATTTAAACTTGACAAAGAAGAACCATGAGAATTAATATAAAATTTGAATTGTGTGTTATTTTTAGAGTAACTACAATCAGGCAGATTCAGATAGGTACTGTTAATATCACAACATATTTATTGATTTTTTTAAAAAAAATAAAACTTCCTTTGGGCCAGTTCTGCTCATAGTATTAATTACTTAGTTCATCCCTCTTCCAAACTATGTGCTGTTACTCTCCTTTCCCCACCTCACCCCACTGTTGTAGCTATCAGTGTCCCACGTTAATCCCCCTGACATTTACCTCGTCATTAGATGCACAAGGCCATCCTCAGGGAATTTGTGCCTGAGAGCTTTCTCTTACAGGAAACAAGCAAAAAATGCCAGGAGAGTGAGGATCCCCAGGGAGCTGCCACCAGCCAATGATGGATGTGGGCTGGAGGATAAATACTCCAGATTCCTGCCCTTTAGTAAGACAACTCTGAGGCCTGTTCTAGTGCATTGAGGGCCTATTGCCTTCAGTGATAATCTGCTCACTAACACACCCTTCATTCACTTCTTTCCTTCATCTTTTTCCTAAGGAGTGCCTTTTGGAATCCCCTCCAAGCTAAACCATTTGCATTAAAATCCTTGTCTAGGTCTGATGAGCACCCAACCTAGCCTATCCCAGGAAAGAAAGACCAGCGTATTGTCTTTAAAAAACATAGCCTGGGGGTAGGGATATTGCTCAGTTGGTAGAACGCTTGCTGAGCATGCTTGAGGTACTTGGTTCAATTGCCTGTACCTCCACTTGAAGAAGAAAAAGGAAAAAAAAAAAAAAAACAGCCTCGGTAAAGGTTGGCTGTGTTTCTAACCTATTGAAAATTATTAACCTGGTTGGTTTTAGATGGAGAGATAAGGTCTAGTTTTGAATTGAGAAGGGAAAAAGTGAAAGCAGAAACATTTGAAATCCCAATTCATATTCCTTCCTTCTCACCTCTTAATTCGTCCAACTCTGAATTTCCAGTAACTTTCCACTAATGAATTTTCTCTCTACCCTGATGGTCCAGTTAACTCCTCCAAGGGCAACTGTTATGGACTGAATTGTAACACACACACACACACACACACACCCCTCATCTCTGCAAAATTCATAGTTTTAAGACCTAATCCCAATGTGATTGTATTTGAGTTAGGGCCTTTAAGGAAATAATGAAGATTAAATGAGGTCATAAGGGTGGGGCCCTAATCCAGTAGGACTAATGTCCATATAAAAAGAGTAAGAGACACCAGGAATACCTGTGCACAGAAAAAAGGCCAGGTGAGGACACAGCAAGAAGATGGCCTTGTGCAAGCCAACAAGAGAGAACTCGAGAGAAACCAGACCTGCCAACACCTTGATCTTAGACTTCCAGGCTCCAACACTCTGAGAAAATAAATTTCTGTTGTTTAAGCCTCCCAGTCTGTGAGATTTTTTATGAAAATCCAGGCAAACTAATGCAGCAACCCTGGACAAATGGTGGACAATATCTGATGTATATATTAATTTTTCCACCTCCAGTCTTTTGAGCAGACAATCCTGGAAAATGCTTACTATGCTGCTTAGAGGGTTTTGTCCAAATCAAAGCCCTGTTGCCCAAAGCGTAGACCTGCAAAACCCACCCTCATATTGGCTTTTCCTCCTCTGCTTTACTCTACCCATTGTCTGGGGTACCCCTGTTTCCGACAGTCACTCTCAATATACTGCTTACATAAAAATGCTGATCGCAGCTCTGTTTTGGTGGGAACCCAAGCTGAGACAGGGCCTGCCCCAGACTCAAATTAGATCTAGTTCTAGGAATGGCAGCTCTCAGGACCCCATTCGTGTGCTGCACTCAGGGTGGGCATTGGCAGCTCCTCCAAGAAAACTCAAGAGATGCATGAAGCAAAGATCTACTTTGTTCACCACTGTCTTGCCCACCAGAGTGCCAGCAATTAGCACCTACAGAAGAAACCACGGGAATGAAATCAACACCCATCCAAAGACCAAGTATGGGCCTCTTCCCAAAGCAGTTGGGACAGTGGAAGCCTGTGATTCTTGTATGATTCCATGGAGGGGAGAAAAAAAGATTGACTAGTAACTGAGATTTGATTTCCTGCCAGGCGAACAGATGAGGGCTCAATGCTGATAACATTTGGTTTAGAAAAATAAAGACTATGATGTATGTTACAACTTGGTGTTAGGGACTTATGAATAGCTGCAACTGGTTGTATAAGAAACTAAAATCAGGGGCCAAATAAAGATGGTGGGCTAGGAGGTCGTGGAGCTCACCTCCTCCCACAACTATATCAAAAATACATCAATGTGTAGAATAATTCTCACAGAATACCACATGAACACTGGCTGACGATCTCATAAAACCAAAATTGCATGAAAGATCACCATATAACCAGGTAGGACAAAAGAGAAAAAAAATAGGAATTGGGCAGTACCTGCACCCCTAGGAGGGAGCTGTGAAAATTGTGTGTCCCCTTACACTGGGAAGCCCTTCACTGGTGGGGAGCTCAGCCAGGACAGAAAGGGATCTTCAAAGGCTGAGAGGAGAGCGCAGCAGCCGGTTTGCCACAGGAAAGACAGTCACTTCATCAGGTGGTGTTGGGAAAGCTGGACAGCTGCATGTAAATCAATGAAATTAGAACACTCCCTCACGCCATACTCAAAAATAAACTCAATATGGCTTAAAGACTTAAATATAAGACATGACACCATAAAACTCCCAAAGAGAACCTAGGCAAAACATTCTCTGATATAAAGTTTAGCAATGTTCTCCTACAGCAGTCTAAGCAGGCAATAGAAATAAAAGCAAAAATAAACAAATGGGACCTAATTAAACTTACAAGCTTTTGCACAGCAAAGGAAACCATAAACAAAACAAAGAGACAACCTATGGAATGTGAGAAAATTTTTGTGAATGATGTGACCAATAAGGGCTTAATTTCCAAAATATATAAACTGTTCATACAACTCAATAACAAAATAACCCAAATAACTCAATCAAAAAATTGACAGAATAGTCTGGTCCTGATTCCCGTCTGGGTACCAGCTTCCTTCAACAGCGCAGACGGCGGGGCCCACGGCTAGGGGAAGGAGAAGGAATCAGTTTGCTGGAATTTTGCAGGTCTGCAGGTCTGTCGTTCATAGCAGTATGCAAGGCTAGAAAAGGCAAGGAAGAAAGTGACCGGATCAGTAAAGAAATAATTGTTTTCAAAGAGGAATAAGTGGAGACAAAGCAAGGAAGAGGGAAAGGAAGAAAGGAAGAGAGGCAGACAAGATGAAACCCTGTCAAAAAATGGAAGGAAAACCAGAAGATGAGAGTGAACCAAAGCTTGAGGAAGAGCCAAAGCCTGAGGAAAAGCCAGAGGAGGAGGGAAAAACAGAAGGAACTTTTAGAGAAAGGCTGATTCAGTCTCTACAGGAATTTAAAGAAGATATACACAACAGGCATTTAAGCAAGGAAGATAATGTTTAGAGAAGTGAATGAAATAGATGAGATAAGGAGAGTAAGAAACAAACTTATCGTGATGCGTTGGAAGGTTAATCGAAACCATCCTTACCCCTATTTAATGTAGTTTA